AGAGGTTGCAGTGAGTCATGATGGCGCCATTGCACTCCAGCCTGGGCAACAGAGCGAGACTCTGTCTCAAAAAATAAATAAAATATAAAATAAAATAAAATAAAAAAATAAAATGTTGTTAGAACAAGCAGCACAACTGGCATAAACAGGTTTGGGAACACACAGCTTGCGCTCGGTGAGCACACGGCAAGCCTGGTATGGAAGTGGATGCATGTGCATTTCAGAGCAGCCCTGCAAGGGTTCCGTACGAACCAGGGACCTTGCATGTTCTTTGGGGGATAGACCTTGGGTTAATGGATAAGTTGGTTAATTGGGTGTCTTGGAGGTTGGCTGAGAGAGCCCACTGTTCTTGACTCTTAAGACAAGATGGCACATGAGGTGAAAGTAGGTGCCCCAGTGGAGGATCCTAGAGCCAGCCAAGTAAGTGAGGAACCAACCGCCCCCTTGCCCAGAGAGGTACTGGTGGAGGATACACAGGTGACTCACACTGCCAGGTGAGTCCCCCCTTCCCCATTTCTGGTGTGAACACCTGGATTCTTTTACAGTGTTACCCTTGGCTTGAGTTCACTTTGCCCTTGGCTCTGGGGGAGAGGGAGTCTCCTGGGGTCTGCTGGATTAGAAGAGATGAATTTTGCCAAATGAATGCTTCTCTTTCTGCAGCTGTTGCCTTTATGCAATGCCATTTCTATCTTCAGTTCTTTCTCCATTAAAATGTGAGCCGTGGCCTGGAATGAACTTCATCCCTCCGTGTGGAGGAAGTGTCCTCAACTGCCCAGACAGGCTCAGCTTCGGGTCGGTGTAGGAAGAACGCCTGGAAGGGAGTGGGCAGTCGAGCTCAAAGAGTAACAGCCAAGACTCTGGGAGAGTGGTCAGCTCAGAGTCCTCAGGGAAGCGGGTGTGGGATGAGAGTACATGTTATTATCTTACCTGGGGCAGGTGGAATAAAGGTAAGAGAAGGCAAGTGGAGGATTTCAGTGACATACAATGCCTGCCTTTGTTGCAGAGAGCTTATTGGGAAGCGGATCAGAGGAACTGAGCTTGCAAAAGGTTTGTTTAGAGGGATGGATACTGATGGAAGGGAAAGAGAAGGGAAGGGAAAGAAACAGGATGGGGGCAGAGAGAGAGAGAGAGCGAGCAAGAGAGCGAGTGAGCATGAGAAGTCCAGCTGCCCCCAGCTCTGTAGCTGGGATGGCCCCTGAGTTGTCCTGATTTGGGGAGAGGGGCCTGAGATTTTATGTCTCCACGCGGATGTTGGTGGCCCAGGGAAGGGAACAAGACCCTGGATGAGGAGGTGCTATTCGGCAGACGCTGACCTGAAGGGGTGGACAGCAGAGGTCTGCTTCGGGTAGCATTCCCAGAAGCTGGGGCACACGTCTTTCATCGCTGAAAAGACCTGGGTAGCACAGCAGTGTCCTCCTCGTCCTTGCTGAAACTTGTCTGGGATAGCTATGGACAGACTTCCTCTAAGCAGATTTACTTTTCCATGGTGAGAGGGTGTGTGTGTGTGTATGTGATTATGTGTGTCTATGAAGGTGTGAGTGCATATGTGTGTGTCATACTGTATGTAACTGTGTATGCCTGCATGTAATTATGTGCACGTGTGTGATTGTGTCTCTATATGAAGGTGTATGTGTGTATACGTGTGCGTCATACTGTATGTAACTGAGTGTATATGTGTGCATGTAATTATGTGCATGTGTGTGATTGCGTGTCTATATGAAGGTGTATGTGAGTGCATATGTGTGTGTGTCATACTGTGTGTGTATATAACTGTTCAAGTATGTGTGTGTGAATGTGTGGTGACTGTATGTGCAACTGTGTGTCGGCATGAGGGTGTGTGTGCATAACTTTGGGAGGATATGCGTGTGTCTCTGTGTGTCTGTAGGAGAGTGTATATGAATGCATATGTGTGTCATAAGGTATGTGTGTATGAGGGTTTGTGTGAGTCTGAGCAAGTGTGTGCATATGTGTGTGAGTGTATATATTTGGTATCTGTATGAGAGTGTGTGAGAATGTGGGGTGTGCAAGTGTGAGTGTGTGCAGGGGTGAGGACATATGAGTGTGACTGTATATGTGACTGTGTCTGCATGAAGGGGTGTGTGCCTGTGTGTGAGTGTATTTGCATGATGGCACACAGGAGTGTGAGTGTGTGTGATTATGATTACGTGTATAATTAGGTGTATGTCAGTGCATATATGTGTGTGTATGTAATTGTGTGTGTGAGGCTATGTGAGAGTGTGATCATGTATGTGCATATGTGAGTGCGTGTGTATATAATTGTATGAGGGTGTGTGTGAGCATGTGCGTGCATATGTATGGGAGTGTGTGTGTAATTGTGTGTCTGTATGAGGCAGTGTGACCACGCGTGTCCATATATGTGAATGTGGGAATGCATATATGTAATTGTGTGT